TACTCAAAATGTCCGTTCCTTGTTCTAAAAGAAGTCTTCTGAATATCTTCAGCCTTCACACGAATTTGATGATACCCAGATCTCAAATCTATCTTACTGAATACACTTGCACCAACCAACTAATCTATCAAATCATAAATCCTTGGAAGTTGATACTTATTCTTGATAGTCACCTTGTTTAATCGACAGTAATCCATACAAACCTCATATAACATTCTTTCTTCTTAACCAACAAAACCAGTGCACCCTACGGCGACACACTCAGACGAATAAACCTCTTCTCAAGAAAATATTCAAGTTGACTCTTCAACTCTTTCAATTCCTACGCAAACGTACGGTATGGAGCCATTAATATCGGACTAGTTCCAGGAACTAAGTCGATCGAAAACTCCACTTCATGTTCCAACGGTAAATCAGTTATCTCATCAGGAAAACTTTCGGAAAATCAAAAATAATTTCAAAACCACCAACTTCACCACTTTCATTAACACTCAGCATAAACATCTTAACACCATCCTGCACCAACTCACCAAAACAATCTGTAAGAACTTGACTTAACTCCAAACAATTCATTGCACACACCATCTAAGCTTACAAGATAAGTCTATTCCAGCCAACCTGATCTCGTCCACTATCAACAATAGATTAAGGGTGATCAGTTCCTCAAATTTGTCAATAGACAGCCAATAATCATAATGGGGCATAAACCATCTTTACCAAACTATAATAGCGTTTAACAACACACTGAGCTACCACTCCACACTTGAAGCATCTTGGAGAAGCACAAGCTTCTCCCCCACTTATTTCAATCCCACTTCTGCAGACAAGGGTTAGAAAAACAAACGTGTACCGACAGTGTTTTCACACACATGTCGCATACTAGGGAACAAACAACATTAGACAATTTGGTCGGATGAACCGACCTGCTCTGATACCACTAATGTAACACCCTTCTTAACCCCGCAGAATATATATAAATAATCAGAGTAATTATCTAGCATCTCATAAAAGGGTGTCACATATAATTTCAAAACATCACACAAATACCTGTCATGCTCATTAACACTTAAAATAAATTCATACTTTTCATAAACTTTTACCTTAGCATGTAGCAGCGGATTTAATTTAATCATAATTTACATAATGTAGCAGAGGATTATATTATCTATACTAAGTTATAGATCTATTCATTATCTTTCCAACGCTTCGAACGGGGACCAAAACCGACTTACGGATCAAAAGTTATAGACAAAATCATCGGAGCACCAATTTTACCAATACACAGTCTTGCGTCAACCGCTAGCGACGGGTCAGTCGATGCATGGAAGGCCGAAACAAAATCCAGAAAGACGCATTTAGTATGCGTCGACCGCTGCGTTTCCAATTTTACCAATACACCAATTTTACCAATACACAGTCTTTCTCATTCCTTTTTGTTAAACCCTAACAATTTAATCATTTCTATTTGGCTTTACTCAACTCACTCTCACTTTCTATTCACACACCTATAATTAGGCCCAACTAATTAATCTAGCAATTCTACACTATTCTACCCAATATAATATATCAAATAAATTAAATAAATTATTTCAAATATGTTCAATAAATCAATTAATCCAAACAACTCAAATAAATCAAATAATTTATATAAATCTAATAAATCAATTAATTCATATAAATCAAATATTTCACATAAATTCAATAAATCAACTAATTCAAATATATCAAGTAAATCAATTAATTTAATTAATTCAAATAAATCACATAAATTAGTTGATTCAATTAAGCACACAATCACACAATTAATCAATTAATTTAATTAAATAAATAATTACTAAAAATTGGGGTGTTACAAGCTTGGTTTAAAATCCGATGGGTCATCTACTATAAGGTTTCTGTTATCTGGCCACCCACCATTTATTACCACGCTCCAAATGTCCAATCTTGGGCGTGAGAGGTGTATTAAAAGTCACACATCGAACAATATATGACATGAACATATCTTTATAAGTGTGGACAATCATCACCCTATTAACCAATTTCGTATAGTTGAGTTAGGTCTAACCACACTTTTTAATAGAGGAGTCATGGAGAAGAAGAAAAGAAAAAACTCAACGAATAAAGATCTTAATGAACAAAGAGAGTGAAAAGTGAAAATCCATTATTCAACCTCAGATTCTACAAGTTAAAGGAACTAAAATTATATACTAAAAATTTTAAATTGGAATTGAAGAGATAGTTTGTTATCAAAACTAACCAACCAATAACTGACAACTAACTTAATAATCTGAAACTAAACAAATGCTTAAACTAGCTAATGATAACAACATCCAAGAGGTTTCCCCTATGAGTCTATTTGTGTTCATCGAACATTTGCCTAAGGATATAAAGTTAGGTGACTGAATATATGGTCTATCAATAGTATTATTGGCAACAAGTCTAGAAATCCAAAATGCTTCTACCTACTATATGATTAAGAGGGAATAAAGAAGAAAAATAATGGCTATTAGTGATGGGCAGGAAAATGAAAGGTATTAATTTCCAATTAATAGATTGATAAACAACTAAATACATGTACATGCAAAGAGATTAAATGAATGATATTGTTGAAAAAATGTTGTCGTACAGGGTTGGCAAAGGTTAGCTATCGTGGTCACGTTTTTAGGTCAAGTGCTATAGACAAATGTTATTGGTATCGAATCAGTGCACCCCACAAAATTGCCTTTTACTATCAAGTTAGGGGCCACAGTACGTGTGAGACTTAATTCTGGCTTAGCTGGTCATTCCAAATCAAACCCATCTTTATTGTTTTGCTAACTTAACCCATCACTATTTAGGTGAAAAGCATAAAGTTTTCCAAATTAAACCCATCACTATTAAGGCACTTTCCTTATTTATGTAAAGGAATAATTTCTCATTAAACTTTATTTTCAATATTACTCAATATGAGAGAGAGAGAGAGAGAGAGAGAGAGGTTATAATAATTAAAATAACAACAAGGTTAAAAAATATTCACTAAGAATAAGAGTGTAAAACTTTGTAGCATATATAGTCAACTAGAGAGTAAGAGATATAGTCAACTAGCCAATTATAACTCGTCACGTAGATGTATGTTGTTGACATGTTCTAATTATATAACAAAAAGTGACATCTTGTTTAAATCTAATATCTCTTGTACTCCTAGTAATTAATGTCTCTTGTCAAAAAACTACTTAATTGAGTGGATGCCTATGTTTTGTTTTTTATTCTACAAGTTCAAAGTCATTCAACTTATTTTAATATTTTTATAGAGTTTGTTTCGAATGGCCTCTAAACAAAAATGTCCAAAGATAAACTCTCACAATGTTTATTAAAAAGTAGATTTTATAAATTATAAAAACAATTGGTATTTTCTTAAACTTTACATTTAAATTTCTACTCGAGTCACTTTTTAAAAGTCCATATTAAAAAATTAGTATTTATGTGATGGTTTTAAAAAAATATTTATATTAAAAAAATTTGTAAAATTTTTTTAAATAAATTTCACTTCAATATTACTATTATTATTATTATTATTATTATTATTATTATTATTATTATTATTATTATTATTATTATTATTATTATTATTATTATTATTATTATTATTATTATTATTGATGGGTGACTCAGGAAGCTCAAGTAATATTGTTAGTTCATCTATAAGTTGTTTTTTGTTTAATAATAAGTTAGAAATCAAATATAAAATAAAAAATAACTAAAGCTTGAGAAAAAGAAACACAAGTCAACCAACCTCAGAAACTAATCTATCTTGAAAATTTAAGCTAAAATAAAAGGAAGACAATACATCTCTAAATGTCTATTACTTGAGCATGTTTCACTTTCAATCGATCAACAGACATTAAAACTTATAGCATGGACCAGTAGCCACTTCCACACCAAATGGATATTCATAAACGATTAATCGTCAAGCTTATCTGATAAGAAATAATTTTTTATGTATTTTTTAAATCACTCCGACCATATAATGACAAATTAAAATCGAATCTTAAAGATTTATATTTTTATGAGTTAGACTCAGTCACATCTCAAACATCGGCAGGAACTCCGACTATGACAATTTTAAATAAATGATCCATAATTATAAATCAACAACTTTCAATTGTTTAATTAATACTTACACAAATATCACAATTGTGACTATGATTGAATATATATTTGCAAAATATTTTTATATAAATAATTAAATTTAATTACAAAAACATTTTTTGTTTATTTCTTTGTGAACTATTATTTATGATAAAGTCCTGCTTAATATTCTTAAAATTAGAATAAATTTTAAATACAATAAATAAATACAAATACTACTCTATACTTTTGTGAATGATATCTCGACTTTCTTCACTGATTTTAATATATAATTTTTTAATTTGATTTGCTTTGTCATAAAAAAGATCTTAAAATTTATATCTATACATTATAACTATAATTTATTTATTGTTTTGAAAAATATACTATGATAATACAATTTAATGGGTGACAATTCATATAATTATTTCCATAATTAATTCCTCGCCACAAAAAAGAAATCTAAGTTGAGAAAAATCTCTACTAATTAAATATTACATCATTAAATAGTACAAAAATAAAATATAAATAAAGTGATTATGAGCTTTTTTTATAGAAAAAGTAATTATGAGCTTTATTTTATTAGAAAAGTGATTATGAGCTGGCTCCACTTATTTATCAAAATTTTAATATTAATTTTGGAGATCAAGTTTACCATATATAAATACACATTCTCACATTTTTAGGGTTAGGGCTCAGCATACACACAGAGTAACTCCTTCTCTTCTCTCTCTTTCTCTCTCTCAAATCTCTCTCAAAGTATATCTCTCTCTCTCTACTTAATTTTTTTCCATACAAGTTTATGATTTTGATTAACCACCAAAAACCTTGAAGAAAATCATCATAATCTTTGCAGGTTTTGGAAGAAAAAAGAAGGTATAAAAAAAAGAAGAATGAGGAAGAGACAAGTGGTTGTGAGAAGATCAGAGGAACCACAAAGAAGTGTTGTGAAGTATGGAGAGTGTCAGAAGAATCATGCAGCAAATGTTGGAGGCTATGCTGTTGATGGTTGCAGAGAGTTCATGGCAAATGGTGAAGAAGGAACAGATGGAGCTCTCACTTGTGCTGCCTGTGGTTGCCACAGAAACTTTCACAAAAGAGAGTTAGTTGAAACTGAATCTGTTTCTGAATGTTCAAATGGTACTTGAAACTGTTTTATTATACCTCAAAAAAAAACAGTTTGTTATATATGTTATTCTTGTAATATATTTCTCTACTTGGTTTTGCTTGTCTTATATATATATAAGAGTTTATTGATATTTTAGTATATATTATTATATACTAAAATTATCTTTCTAGAGTGAAAATATATAAGGATGATTTGTGTAAAGGGTAAAAATGGAAAAGTATTTCAGAAGCTGTTTTTGTTTTTGTGAAGAGAAATGCAAATTTGTATGAGATTTTTTTCACTTTTCTTATAGTTAGGTACTCTTCTTCTTTTGTTTTTTTTACAATATTTTTTTCTCAAATTTTTTATGATTAGTATGTGTAAGATGTTTTAAGGATTTGTGAATGGCTTTGAACATGCTAAAGCTGTTTTTTTAAGTTTGATAAATTATGAAGAAGATGTTTTTTGTTTTGTTTTGTTTTGGTTTGGTTGGTTATGCAATTTTCTTTAGTTTCTGTTTGTTTTTGTTGGATGCTGATTTTGATTCCATTCAACCAAATCATATGATATCATATCCTTGATGCTTCCACAATATACCAAACTCCACTTGCCTTTGCTTTGTAAAATTTTTACTTTAAATAATTTTCATTTCTTAAATAATTTTTCTACATGGTGAAAAAAATGTTAAAAAATTATATTAATATCACTCTTACTATATCATTTGCTCATTTGCATGATATAAGTTTTTCCAGTGTGTAACTTTGTGTAATGTATAACAAATATGGAAATTTCTAGTTATATACAATTTTCCTTTCATAAGCTAAGTGAATTACCACAATTTTTCATCATTTTCTCTCTTAATCTTTATATAGCCACTAACTGATTTTGGCAAGTTCTATACAACAATGATCGTTAATCTTCAATCCACTAGTTGGTGTTTTGTTTGAGATCATTATAAGGTCCACATGTCTAATCATGTTGGTTGTTGAAATAAAGATGTTTCATTAAGCTTCATACATATTTAAAAAGTTGATTTAAGCTAGCTCAAACTCAATAGAGGGAAATAAATTAAAGGGTGATAAGAAAGCATTGAATATGATTAAGTTACATTTTTCTTTTATCTCTCTACTTATTTTCCAAAGTAAAAGCAACTCAAAAAGACTAAGGTATAAGTTAGGTAACCTAGTTTTATATATAACACTATTCCTATATATATATATATCATGGAGTTGCATATGGTTTGGTTAAACCCTAAATGGAATGAAAGCATCATTTTTTTTAAAATTTATTTTGTTTTGTATGGAAAAAATATTAAAGTAGATTTAAACCTGTACCTTGTGTTCAATACTCCTTTGACGTCCTTTAGCTCACTGACCGAATTATTTATTTGTGACCGGATAAAATATATTTAAGGTTAATCTTCTTCGATGTCCTTCAGCTCACCGACCGGATTGTCTGCATGTGACCGGATGAAATATATGTATAGTAGAAAAGAAAAAGATAATATAATGGTGAGATTAGAATTGAAGGGTATATAACATTTTGCATATGATGAGAGAAAAATTGATGTAGCAATGAAACTAAAAGACAGAAAGAAACACAAGTCATTTTAGTTATGGAAGCAAGTGTGGATGCTAACTAAAATTAACATGTATAGAATGTGCAAAGGGGTAAGACACTTATTGTGTTGCTTCTCTATAGCTAGCTTTCATAAAAAGGAGATGGCAAAGTACTACTTTTTGTGTATGTATAGATATTTTTCATGTGAGTTGCTTGAATCAAAAGTAGACAAGTTAGGCATTTGAGCATGGAAGGAAACAAAGTTTTAGGTATATGTTAACACAAAATCAGGTATATGTCTATTCCAATGTTACATTTTTGAAATATATAGCTAAAAGGTGTCTTTTCCAACATTTTAATATTTTTGCCTAAAGAATGAACTTTGCTAGCTATGTGTTTTGTTGTGATGCTGTCATTAATCTGTTTAGCAGCAGAAGTTATTTTCACTCTTACACATGCTTCATTGTACTATGATTCTAACTTAGCAAAAGCATCTTTTTCTATGCCATGCATCCTAATGTTTGAATTGTATATTATATGTTTGTTTCATCGAACAATAACGTGTATATTTATAGAACGGTTTCAAATTTTTATTGCATTTGTTAATTTTAGGTACTGACTTTCAAATTTACTGCAAACTAGTTAGATATGAATTACAACTACTAGTTGGAATCGGCTCCACAAGATACAACATGTGACGAATGATCGAGGAAATATACACAAAGTGTGTAGGAAAAATATAATTGAAAAATCATTAACTTTTCTAAACCGATTATAGTATAACCCTAAAATTAAAGCAAAATGTGTTTTATGTTCTAGTACAACAAGCATACTAAGTTTTGCTTCAATGTCAAGGTATGTACTAAAAAAAGGCAAAAACATAATTGCAAAGTACAAATGAAGTTTGGTGAAGATGTTGTTGAAAGTGTGGAAAAGGATTGTTAGACTATAGAGGGGGTTTATGTAGGGGTAAGGTAAAGGGTTCTTGAAGATCTCTTGGGTTTGGTGATCGGCGGTGCGTTAGATACTTGTGTTTGATGGAAAAGGAAAATGTTATATTGAGATTTTGTATGGAATGGAAAGAATAGATTATTTGAGAAAATGATAATTTTTATTGAGAGGATGTTTTACAATTATGTTTACTTGCTTCTATTTACTTGTGATTTGAAGGTTTTCCTTCAAGATCATTGTGATTTGAAGGTTTTGGATAAAATCACGTAAGTAGGGATTCGACCGAGTGAAGGTCTTGGAATAAGGTGGATCCTTACAAGGGAGTAGCGCGATATGGTAAATTGTGGTCGTGAATCTTGAGTTCAACAAGTGCGTGCTAAGGATTAATCTGACTGAGCAAAAACGTTGAAGACAAGAAGGTCTTGCAAGCATGTAGTCAAGAACTGGTGGATTCTAGAAGCATTGTTGGTGACTTGGTCGAGCTTTGATCAAGAGTTTAGAGGTGGTAGAATCAACAACAATCCATATGGTTTGTGGGGTTAGAGTTCTTCATCTCTTGTATAAACATTTTTGCAAAGATAAGGTTAATTGCAAGTATCTCAATTCAATTTCGAATTGAGGGCAGACGTATCCATAGCGAGGCCAACTGGAGAACTTTCTAAACAAATCTTTGTGTCTCTCTTTCTTTCCCTCTATATCTCTTTAATTGTTGTTCTTGCAAATTATCGAGTTCATTGTTTTTTTGATCAATTCGATTGGAAATTAATTTTCAATTATTCTTTTAAAGTGTTGTTGTTGATATAATCATAGCCACTTTGATTGTGATTGGATTTTAACATCAACAAAACAAATAAAATTTCCAAACGTTATCGATCCCACACAAAGTGTTGGATAAATTGCCCTTGAGCATTTTAATTGATTTTTGTTCATTGGAAATAAGCTCTGCTTATAGCTTAACATTTAATTGATTAATGAATTAATCGGTGTTGAGCAATTTGTGTTTGTTATCATCCAATTGATTTACGTTACGCATATCCGAGTTTTTCGATAGTAGGTTCGGTTAGACGTTTCAATTCAGGTTATTTCCGATGTGTCATAAAATTTTTGAAAACAATTTTTTTGCCAAAAGTTATGTTTTTAAATTTGTGATTTATTCACCCCCCTCTAGATCAAAGCATATCGTCTAACAAGTGTTATCACGAGCTCCGGTTAATTTTGTGCTTAAGATTTATTTTTTAGAAGAATGACTACAGAACCTAAGGGAGTGTACAATAGAGCACCAATTTTCACAGGCAAAAATTATGGCTATTGGAAAGCTTGTATGCATATACATGTAAACTTTGTTGACGAAGGTATATGAGATGTCATAAAAAATTGTCTAAATGAAATAACCATGACCAATGACTAAGGTGTTACCGTACCTAAACCAGAAACACAATGAGATTCTAATGACCGGAAACTGTGGTCACATGATTTGAAAGTGAAAAATATTCTCACTTCTGCTTTGAGTGTTTATGAGTATTATCACGTCTCTCATTGTGAGGCCGTCAAAGCTATGTGGGATACATTAGAGGTTTCCCATGAGAGTACTAATGATGTCAAACAAGCTAGGATTAACACATTATATCATGATTTGAACTATTTCATATTGAGGATAGTGAAACCATTGCCGATATGCGAATAATGGTTCACACATTTTATAAAGCAATTAAATGTGCTAGGTAATATTGTTTCCAATGAAATTGCTACTAACAAAGTGCTGAGATATTTAAGTAGGAAATGGCAGCCCAAGATCCCAACCAACAAAGAGGTAAACGATCTAATGTTGCTTGATCTCACGACTTTGTTGGGAAAATTAGAAGAGCATGAGCAAGAACTCACTTATTTAGCAAAATATGAAAAAAGCAAGAAAAGAAAGTGAAAAAGGAGAATGGAAAAGACAAAGAAGAAGAGAAGAAGTCCATAGCTCTAAAGGCTTTTAGCTCAAGTTCCTCACATGATAAGCTTAGGAATTGTGAATCTAAAGATGACAATGAATTCGACGAAGAAGGTATGAGACTGTTTATAAAAAAGATTGAATAAATACATGTGGAAACATGGTAACAAACATCCAAATAAGTATCATGAAAAATTAAGACGGTTATCAAGTTCCTCAAAAGAAGACAAAAACATAAAAGGGAAGTCTAGAAGTACTTGTTACAATTATGGAAAACTTGGTCACTTTAAGCCGGAGTATCCTACAATCAAGAAAGAAAAGGAAAGAGACCATCACAAAACGTCTAGAAAATCTAGAAGAGCTTATGCTGCTTGGGAGAGCGAAAGTGATTCGTCAAGTGATGATAACTCTACGTCAAGAGTTGAATCGACAAAGCTTTGTTATATGTCAAACAAAAGAAAGAAAAAGGTTCTAAGTCACTCTAACCTTCAAACTTCGCATGACTTAGCTTTTTCTCAATTACAATAGTCTTTTTAAAATCTACAAAGACAAGTTATATATGCTTTCAAAATATTATCTTCAAATAAAAGGAT